ATTTACACTCTTTATAGTCATTCAAATGTAAATTTTCAGACAAAATTGGATCATGAAAATTGTTGATGAAAAAGGTAAATTCATATCCACAATTGAACTTGAATGCTGGACTTTGACATCAACATATTTCTATGGACTTTAAGTTTGACAGGGAAAAGAATTTTAAAGATTCGAAAAGTGTTTATTCTCTCGAGAATAGTTAATTAGAAATGACCAGCTCAGATGGTTTCAGAGTCAAATCAATGTAATTCGATTCATTTTCAGATCGGAAACTTTTCACTCGTTGATGGGTTAGAAGGGAAAGTAAGCCAATATTTCTAGAGAGTGATAAGTTCATTAGAATACATTTACCAATTGTTATGGGCTGGGAAAGGCGAAGGCGATGAGTTGTTATTCCCTGTTATCTGATATCTGACAGTTTCATTTCATTGTGCAATAATCATTTCTCGATCTGATATCATTCAATTTTACCAATCAATATTCATGACTGTCAACTGAAAGATGCAATGGGACAAAAAGTATTTCACCCAAACTCGTTTGCTTGACCAGAACAAATGAGAGCACCATTTGGACCTTTAACAACCTCTTTCAAACACATCTGGCTCATCTTGACCAAAACAATGGTGAAAATTGTCTGATAATACGACGAAAAGTCTATTATTCTGCTGAGAAAATATCATTTTTGCGAATAATAAATTTTTCTATTCTATTGCTTCTGAATATTTCAACCTTTCTTCACTCGAAATATAATTAGCTGAATGTAAACTCGAAGGAATATTGATGAATTGACGTAAAAATGGATTCATTTCAATGGATGGATTCGAGTCTAATAAATTCAATTGTAAACATTCAGAGTAAATGAAAATTTATTTCATCGAGAATTGGATATTGAGACAATTTATTTGAATCGCAATGAACAGGTAAAGTAGCTTTGCTGAATGGGAATAAAAGAGAAAAATTGTTTTCTATGTTGAGTTGATCAAGTGAATGTTGAGGGAAAAATGATTCAAAATGAAAGGTAAAATCATGCAAGAAAAATTTGGCCAACTTAGTAAATTGAAAAAGTCCAAAAAACAAGGAACCTAAGAGATGAATGAATAAATAATAAAAGGTAAAATCGATTTTGACTTGGATTGAATTCCTTGAAGGGAACCTTTTCAATCTTTTCAGATAAAATCACAAAATCTTTTGCAAAATTACATTTTATTTGTCCTCTTCACCATCTAATTCTGCTAACAGGTAAAATTCAATTCACAAGTAAACATTTTCATTTCTCATTCTGCTGCTTTCGTTTTGTACCTGAAATGAGTATAAAATTGAAAAGATTTACTTGGCAAAAATTTATTCATGTTGATGTCACGAATAATTGCATGATAAACATTCAAAAGCAAAATATTTTAAAGACGAACAACAATGCATGATGAAACTTTATTGTCTGACTAGAATGATATTCAATCAAAATCAAGGTAAATTAAGTCATCGCGAAATCAATCCAAGACTTTACAAAAACTTCAGCCGAGACAGTTCAATAAGACAACTTTCAGGACAAACTTGTCACAACTGGCTGAGAGAGGCATTGCTGAAAGATCCGAAATTTGTTTTGTATTCTGTATTTACTGTGATTTCTTTGCAAAAAGCGTTGTTCACGTAACTGCTAGTAAGAACAATCGTTTGAGTAAAGATATTTAATGTAAAGTGTTCAAGTAAAGGCGAAAATAACTAATGGTAAGCAACAAGAACCTCAACAGACGCTTGAGACGCAATACAAAACCGTCTAAATATATTTGTAAAGATGTTAAAGCGCTTCATCATTACTTGCAAAAGCCTTCTGCAGCACTGAAACCCAATTACTTTTGTTCATCTGTAAAGTTATGGCAAAATTTGCTGCAAGAACAACGGTCTAGAAAAGGTTATTTGATGATTCTACGAACGAATTTCGGAATATTCGCAATGTAATGCATTTTCAATCGTTTTAAGCAATTAGTGGGCTTCAAACAACAACTCTCTAGACTTATTTTCATATTTATATTCGCTTGAAACATACCTTGGTACACTTCAGTACGTATTTCAGTGATTGTGTTTGTTAGAGCGATGGAAGAATAAGCTTTGCTTTGCTTTAAAAATGCATTTCCAATCTTTTTCGGTTCATTGTGACAGTAATAGTACGAATCGATGAGCTTTAAAGTTTTGCTCTAAAGGCGAGATGAGAATGAAATCGAGAACAAGTTCGCTTAGTTTACACAATGATGTGATTCTTGATCCATTAAACTAACTTGCTATAATTTAATAACAGAGTTGAAAGTCATTTGATTTAAGCTGATTTAGCTTTGATGGATTAATTTAATCATTTTTGTGAATAAAATGGTCAAAATCTTGCATGAAATTTACATGATGGATAATTACGTTACTGTTTTTACCAAAAGTGTGGAGAGAAGGAAAGATATTCAAGAGAATATCTGAAAAAAGTCCATGAATGAACAAAAATGATTGATTATAACAATTTTGAGGCTCATGAAAGGTAGCTGATGTTGATGTCATTTCAAGTTGATATTTATCATCATCTTCTAGTCAATCTTTATTAGAGAATAATTTTTCTTTTTCTCTTCTCTCCTTCAAAATTGCCATCAAGATGAATTCAATTAATCTAATAATGATAATGTATACACTCATCAAATTGATAGTTTCAGTTTCAATCATTGTTTTCTTTCTATTCTCTGTATTTTCAGGTGAAAGATGCTTCCATTATGTACAGATTTATCAGGTCATTGAGCTTAAAATTAATGATGAAGCAAAGTGGTTTATCCTTTGACCAACAAAAACAAAAAGTTGGCCAACATTGATTTTGTTTTACTTTTTCTTCTTCTTCTTATTGTTCTTGTTCAGTGAGAATAAACTTTTCTTGTCGAGTTTAAATTGGCTTTTCTCGTATTTTTCATTTCACCAAATTGATTCAGCAAACATGTTGAACATGTCAGGAGAAAAGTAAACCAACAAGCTAAAATGAATGCTCGGGGAGTGAGAAATATTCACAACTTGAAACTTATTTATTGCTGTCGATTTGAAACAATGCATGACCTTTCAAATAGTCAATTGCTTTCTTCTTTAAATCGCTTTGATCAAACCTATTGGACAGAAGCTATTTATACAACTCGATTGCAATATTCAGTATTTTGCAATGAAAAACTGTCAATAAATCTTGTTTGAATCGGGATTTCCGGTCAATCGGATGAGGAAATTAGAGAATGTTTATGAGAAGGAAATGATTTATCATGAGAAATGAAATTTTAATTTCAAATGGATTCATTTTTTGTTGGATGCTTTCGATGCGGTCAAGCATTAAAAGTTTGTTTCATTAAACGCTGTTAACCATCCAAAGTAGTCAATTTTTCTTGCTCAGGAAAAATCTAATTGCAAAGCTATCTTTGCATGTTGAGCTTTGAATTCAATTGACAATCGATTTACTTGAAATTTCGGAATTCGTAGCTGCATTGATTGCATGCAAATTGATCATTATGCTACAAAATTCGTACAAATACGGTTTGTTCTTATTTTTTGAAGGTTTGCAAACAACTACTGTTGGACAATCAATCGTAATTCAAACTCTCGATAATTTGATTTGAGATGTTTTGTAATTGCAAGCTTATTCTGAGCATTAAGCAGACGAACACAAATAATATTGTTGAATTTCTGACTGGCAAGCTAGTTTGGGTTAAAGCTTCATTGGCTTAATATTTCTGCTCTAAAGCCATTGTCTTAGCGTCTCTCGTTCTCATTGTCAATCTTGTAAGATTGGCTTTGCAAACTGATCAGTTTAATATCTTTCGTGTTGATTGTCGTCTGAAAGTCGTCTAAGTTGATGTAAATCCTTGTAGATAAAATTACTCGAGTTTAGTTTAGATGTTTGCAAGTTGGACTTTTCACTTTAATTTTCTAACTTTGACATTTTTTGAATTTCATTTCGTATTGATATTTACAGAGATCATTGAGATTTATCTGAATCAATCTGCAATTGTCATTGCAGCACTCATTTCGCTTGATTTACAAGTTGATATTAATCCATCAACTTTGCTCAATCAAGATTACATTGCAATTCAACTCGCGTGTGATCAGAAGATTTTTGGTTTGTTCAAGAATCAAGGCAATGAATTGATTTCCAGATTATATTTATAATTGGATTGAGTGACGAATAAATTGTCTAATTTATTATCTAATGGCTAGACGTCGAGTTTGATTGAGACGACATTAACTTTCTGTCAAGAATAATTACATGTATGATTGAATGATGATAACAATGATGAAGAGTTTCATTGGAACAGCAATGAAATTTGAAATGAAATACAAATGCTGATTGGAGACAATTTAATTGCATGGATAAGCAAAAAAAAATGAGTTGAAATTAAATTGAACATTTGGTAATGGAAAGCGTCAATAAAATTTTGATGAGCCAAAATGAATCGAGTAAAGACAAAGAAAACTGTAAACTCATTTCCACCCTGAGGGTAGAATTAATGTCTAAAAAAATGTCAGACTCGAAACAAAACTAAGCTGGAAAAAGCCACAGAGTCAGGGTTAACCTCAAGTTGTTGACACAAGTTGATGACTATTTGCTGACAATACGAAAGTTGGTCAAAGACTGAAAGGAAGATCGTTAAATGTCATTTAATGAACTGAAATGAAAACAGTCTCATTGATTCCTTGGCTCAGAATCAATGATCAATTCATCTTTAGCTTTGACCGTCCAAAGTAAATGTAAAAACAAACACAACATAAGTAAACACATAGAAGTATCCAAATTGAATAACCAAACATTCGATGAAATTTTCATGATAAGTCGATACATAATTTTCACAATTGCAAGTAAAAGGAATGAAGAGTGGAACTGAAAATTGGTGGAAATGGAGAAATGAAAAGATCTCAAGCATTCGTCAGGTGAATGGGTTTGATGTAACTCTTGATGAATGAAATGATGAAAAGTGTCGACTGATGGTCAATGGACTTACCTTTAGTTGAGGCATTGAAAGGCACATGGATCCTAATTTGAGCGTATTATCTTTGTTTTTGTTCTGAATCAAGAAATGGAAAGAAATGAATAAATGTTTCTCTTCTGATGAACAGAAATAAAAGCATTTCATGGGCAATGCATTACTCGGTGATGATGGAATAGGATACTTGAATGGGAATCGAAATCTTTTTCTTTACCTCTTTTTCCATCTTCTACTCATCTTCGTTTCTTAGTTTTTATCACTTGAAATTAACTTGCATCATTATTGAACATTATGTCTTTAGTGTTATCACCAAGACTTGATGCACTCATGGTTAATTGCAGTTAAAACTGAAAGATAAGTTGAAACCATTCCTTGTGTAAAAACGATAAAAGAATGGAAATAAAAGGAAAATGTTCAAATTAAGTCGAGGTTTGCAATAATCTAGTTTGGAAATAAATTGTTGTCTGTTTTATTTAACTGTTGGCAATTGAATTGCATTTAAATTGTTTAAACGAGAAAAAATGGAAAAACCTTTTATTCGATTTCGTTTTTACTGACAAAGTTTCAAAGTTTACTTTTTTTCCCAGCCAAATGTATCGTTTGTGTTGAGATGAAGAAACGTATTGATTGAATAAAATCGATACTTGGTCATCAATTGGATTGAATAACAAATGGAAATGAAAAGTAAGAAGATTGTCTTGTTATTTTGGTCTTTTCTTGTTGGACTTCATATTTCATACTAATCATTTGGTTAACAAAAACTCTTCAATATTACAATGGTATTAGCTGTCCATTCATTGTTACTCTTCAATAGGTAAATCATTATTGGACAATAGTGTTGGCCAACAATAATCAGAATAAGATGAAGGAAACAGAAGTTCAATTATCTTTAGACTGATCGAGCAATGTTTGTTGTTCACTTGAAATCATTATTGTGAGAAGTTTAGTTTGGATGAATGTTTGACTGTTTCCAGCCTCAGGGAGAGTGAAAAATATCAAATGAAAAACTCAAACACAGATCCAGAGAAAGAAAAGGTAAAACCTGGTGAAAAGACAAGATTTAGATCATTCATTTTCTCTGCAAATTCTGTTCATTTCTAGCATTTCTTTCAATTTTCAAAAATATTTTTTCATTCCATTTTCAGGTATTTGAAGCTTGATTGTTCATCGTAAATTGGAATTGAAAAACTAAATCCAGTTGCAAATATTTCATCGGTTTAGTCAAGAGAAAGATTTGCAAAGCTTTAGAAACCATTTCGAAATTTTGTCAACTTTTCATAACAATAATGCAAAATGATCGTACAGTAAGTTGGATAATGAGTTACTTCTTGATGATATTTGAACACGAACTTTGATTCGATATGTGGAAATGCTAAAAAGATACTTCTATTTGGATCGAATCAACTTCAGTGTTTTCATTGACATGAATTGCTTTGTCAATTATGATTGGAAATACATCAATGTTTCTATTTTTACAGTCAATTTGGACTTAAATACAGCTAGGTCAATGGTAAAAGTCCTGAAACCTTAGTTTGATTGGCTTTTAAATTTGAAAAAGATTTAAAAGACGTTTAAATGGTAGAAAGACGCTTTTCGATATGCGAATTAGGATGAAGCAAAGGCCATTTACGAGTAAATCTCATTGAAATTTCATTTGAACCCAAACTCGATAACATTTTATTGAGTTTCTTTGGAAATTGAATGATAATTATTGATATTGAATTTGATATTTAACTTGATATTGAAGGATATTGAGGAATGGAGTGAGTTCAAGATTAACCATTTAGCTTCTGTTTTGAATGAGTTTTCATTTTACAAAATTTGTTCATTAGCTGAACATTGAAAAGGAATTTTATGAATTCACAATTTAATGAAATAAATAGTGAAATGGTTGTTCATTTGATTGTGAACTAATCATGGAAACAATGGCGAGTTTATGATGTATTTGAAGAAAGCTTACATTTTCAGTGAATAAAAGCGCCATTTTATTGGCTCAATTAACTTTTTGTAATTTATATTAACTTATATAATAATTTGCTTTTGTTGACTCATTCAAATTCACTGGAATCGATAAAATTGAGTACAATTTTTCATTCTAACAATCAATCCAATTTTAGAGTTATGAGTTGTTTCAATTGTTTCATGAGAAGTTACAACAATGGAATAACTATCGAATTGATTTAATCTGTGTTTTGATAAAAATATCTGATATTAATCATTGAAGCAGTAAAATTGATCTTTACAATTTGTGTTGGACAATAAGTTTGAAATAAGAAATGATTTCCTTAGCACATAATAACTTGAGTAAAATCAAAGTCCTTTTAGTTAAGGAATTGAAAGGTGATTCAACTTTAATCAATCAGTTTAGTCGCAACTACTGCTTAAATTCATGAAAAAACCAGCTACATGAAGACATGTATCCGAAAAAGAATTTTTGATTTTCTTGCTTTTGATTTCGATCTAATGATCTCTGGAGATTCAGTGTTTATTCGTCGAGGTATGAATCTCTTATCCAGGCGTTTATAGCTTGAGCTATATCGACTATGATTGTGAGCTCGGTCCAGTCTGTAGTTCAACAATTAATAGCAAGAAAACTCAAATTTCAATAGAAATCCATAATAAAACAACAAAGCGAATAACATTTTCAGACAATTTAGGCTAATTAGCAAAAGGTAAATTTTCAGTTTTTGTCCATAATAACAAGGTGTTTCAAGACAATTCTGCCATTTTCTCTGTTCAACACCTGTAGAAAGTACAATCTTTTCTGTACGGATATCGTTATTTCGAGTTGACTATTGACCAAATTCAAAAACCTTTCCTTGGATCAAATGTAACCAAGTCAACATCTTATTTCTTAAGTGTTCTTGGTTCGGATGAATTTGCAGAATAAAACTGATCGGGACTTGTTCAATAGATTACTTGAGTGCTTTGTAACACCAGTACATTGGAAAATTTAGCAACTCATGCACTCAACCCTCTTTTTCAATGGAAATAAAAATGAGAATAAAATACTGAATCGAAATAAAATATGTTTATTACTCAATTGTTCATTGTGAAATTTCACAAAAATCGGAAATTAAATGTTTGGTCCAATCTACATTGACTAGTCATTTAACTTCGAGATCATATTTTGAGCGGTAAAATAGCTTTTTACCAAGCATTCAGTCAAATATTGATATTTTGAGTAAAGAGTATCGCTCTGTATTGATGATACTCTCCCAGCCATCCCAAGCAGAAGCACCATGCACATAATCAGCTAACATTGATCTTAAAATCTTTTTATAATTTTGTCAACACAGTAGGTATCGATAGTTCAACTTAAATGAAATTTATTGTGTTAAACGCAAAGGAAACGATTCTACGTGTTTAATACACTGACTACACGCTCTCTCTGACTTGTCTGTACACAACAATATGTTGACTTGGTTTTTTTGTTTTGACTCAACATCTGTTAGTGAAAAGTAAAAGGCCAAGTGGATTGCTTTAAGAAACATTCACTGATTCAGAATAATTGATACCTGAGTATCAATATACTTTGATCAATATCTACTCCTTAATGGCATCTTATCTTTTGGTAAAATAATAATGCAAAAAAGGCAATGAGAGGAGCGACTAAACTGATTGATTAAAGTTGAATCACCTTTCAATTCCTTAACTAAAAGGACTTTGATTTTACTCAAGTTATTATGTGCTAAGGAAATCATTTCTTATTTCAAACTTATTGTCCAACACAAATTGTAAAGATCAATTTTACTGCTTCAATGATTAATATCAGATATTTTTATCAAAACACAGATTAAATCAATTCGATAGTTATTCCATTGTTGTAACTTCTCATGAAACAATTGAAACAACTCATAACTCTAAAATTGGATTGATTGTTAGAATGAAAAATTGTACTCAATTTTATCGATTCCAGTGAATTTGAATGAGTCAACAAAAGCAAATTATTATATAAGTTAATATAAATTACAAAAAGTTAATTGAGCCAATAAAATGGCGCTTTTATTCACTGAAAATGTAAGCTTTCTTCAAATACATCATAAACTCGCCATTGTTTCCATGATTAGTTCACAATCAAATGAACAACCATTTCACTATTTATTTCATTAAATTGTGAATTCATAAAATTCCTTTTCAATGTTCAGCTAATGAACAAATTTTGTAAAATGAAAACTCATTCAAAACAGAAGCTAAATGGTTAATCTTGAACTCACTCCATTCCTCAATATCCTTGAATATCAAGTTAAATATCAAATTCAATATCAATAATTATCATTCAATTTCCAAAGAAACTCAATAAAATGTTATCGAGTTTGGGTTAAAATGAAATCTCAGATATTGCTTGTAATCTGATGAAAAAACGTTTACAAAAAATTTCTCTTCCGATTCATCGATTTATGAATTTGTTCAAACTGAATGATTGATTAGTTATTGAGGTTCATCTTGATTCTGAGGCAAACACGCTTTTTAAAACTTTATTTGCTTCTGTCTTTTCTTTCTTTAATCTCTGGAAAAATTCAATTCTGTCAATAAATTGATTGCTGTTTCAAGTAACGATCCCGATTTCAATCAAATTCATCTTTCGTTGGTTCACAAGAAAAGCTGTTTATTGTTATTATTGTGACGACAATGATGATGAGTAACCTGAATGAATTAATGATGATAATGTTATTTGAAAAGTTGACAGTTTTTACTTCTTCTTTGTTCTTCCAGATTGAAACAAGGAAAAACATGATCTGAATAAATTTCAAAGAAAATAAAGTTTGCTTCAAAATGATACAACAAAATATACTTTCAGGTGGATAAGAAGGTGGGAGAAGAAAGAAGTAACAAAATGATGAAAAATACGTAAACAATAATCTAAAGGTTATAATAATAAAAGAATTATGATAAACATGATAAATAACGGTGATTGTACAGAAATGAAAATGTGAAATTCATTGAAATGCTTCATGAACAGAAAAGTTGTTCAATTTTTCAAATTGTGAAATTGATGGGGAATCGATTGCATTTGAGGTTAATCATTTCAAATGTAAAAGCTTTCAATAACGAAACGAATGAACCAGAAATGTTGC